GGTTTCCTTTAGAATGAAAGTAGCTATGAAGCCCCTACTACTTATACTTACTTTGTTTGATTCAAAAGGCGAACCCCAACTAGTCGTATGGGGTGGGGTGCTTGTGGTAAGCTGCCTTGGATATGAAATTCCTAAAAAAAAGGCAAAGTCCGGTATTTGACGAAGATCTTTCTATCAATAGATAGGATTTAGTGTTCGATATAGGGGATAGGATCTGCTCTTTCTCTCTCAATTTTTTTTTTAGAGAGAGCAGATAAGATATAACGCTCTAAAAAATAATAGGGATAAAGGATACATAGACATCTAAGGGGATGTCTATTCTATTCCTCTTTAGAGTAGAGAAAAAAAAAAGATATCTCGTTCATCTATCTTTTTTTTCAGTGCAACACAGGAAAGCGCCCTCTTTTTGTCATCCCTGCAGCTTTCCAGATTTTGTATTGAACATGGCGTAGCTAGGATCTTCAAATCATGTTTGAGCCTAGCCTATCCTATGTTCAAACAACCCACCCCCTCTTTGTTTGAATTTGAATAAGGCTGGAAAGAATGCCCGCCAAGTTCAGATAAGGGAATGCTTCCCCCAACCATTAAAGGAAAGGCTCGACGAAGGGAGGGAGATGCGGCGGGGGAAGGGAAGGAAAAGGCTTTCGGAGATCTATCTTTTTTTTTTCATCGAAAACGAAGAAGGCCGAGGATGGCCTACGGTGCGTGTTATATGAAGGAAAGACGCTTTTTCGACCGCGGTGATTGCCCGGCCCTCTCCTCGTTCCTTTCACACCGCAGGCCTATTCGGGCTTTGCCTGCCCTTTCTATCTCGGCCCGGGAAAGCGCTGGCAACAACAGAAAGGAAGGGGTCCATGTAGCAGCTGCGTCCGCCCCCTTCTTAGTCAATGGGGCAGCAGGTTCGGCATCTACTAAAAAAGAGAGAATCCACTTGAGATAACCACGCCTCTGCTAGGCAGCGTGTGGAATGGCCAAGAGCGGACCTTTTTGGATATATAATCCAAGTGGAGAGTGGAGTTACGGGAACAGCCGTCTGATGGAAAACTACTTTCACGTTCGGTTCAGAGAGCACTTTATTTTTCGTCGAGAATTATTCGTTCCCTTTCGTGTTAATTCCCCAGCGGCGAATAAAAGACTTTTATTTCCCTATCTATTCCATCTCTCGAGCCCCGAAGAAAACCCCCCTCCCCTTCGGACTCCATATCTCTTTTGACTCTATATATGTGGGCACCTGATATCTATGAGGGTTCACCCACCCCGGTTACAGCATTCCTTTCTATTGCGCCTAAAATTTCTATTTTTGCTAATATTTCACGTCTTTCTATTTATGGTTCCTATGGAGCTACATTGCAACAAATCTTCTGTTTCTGCAGCATTGCTTCTATGATTTTAGGAGCACTGGCCGCCATGGCCCAAACGAAAGTAAAAAGACCTCTAGCTCATAGTTCAATTGGACATGTAGGTTATATTCGTACTGGTTTCTCATGTGGAACCATAGAAGGAATTCAATCACTACTAATTGGTATCTTAATTTATGCATTAATGACGATAGATGCATTCGCCATAGTTTTAGCATTACGGCAAACCCGTGTCAAATATATAGCAGATTTGGGCGCTCTAGCCAAAACGAATCCTATTTCGGCTATTACCTTCTCCATTACTATGTTCTCATACGTAGGAATACCCCCGTTAGCCGGCTTTTGTAGCAAATTCTATTTGTTCTTCGCCGCTTTGGGTTGTGGGGCTTACTTCCTAGCCCCAGTGGGAGTAGTGACTAGCGTTATAGGTTGTTGGGCGGCCGGAAGGTTGCCACGAGTAAGTAAGTTTGGGGGACCGAAGGCAGTTCTCCGTGCACCGGACACGTAGCTTACCGAATCAGTTGCGACACCGATGGGAATGCATGCTACGAAAGATAGGGTCGAGTCTGAGACATCAACCGTCTACTCAATATCCTTGTACGAGTCCACAATCACTACACGAGATGAACCTTGGTTTGGTGAATTGAAGTTGGCCTTAGGTGTAAAAAAAAGGACTCCCAGTTACTGCGCGCGTATACTGAGGTGCTCCCCGCCGGTTGTTGGAACGACGCGAGCCGGGCCTCCATTCAGAAAGATGAAGGGTCCAAACAAAAGTCAAAATAGGGGCTTACACATTCCCCATCTCATTGGGGGCGGAAAACGAATCGACATCTCGATGTGAGACAGCCTTTTCTATTTTAGTTGGGAAAGAACGGCGAAGTCCATCCGAACCGTCCAATGAAGAATAAGAGGAGAGCAAAGCGCCAATGGCTTTTTTTCGAAGCGCATGCGAACCAATAGGGGCACGGAGACTCATAAGTGTGGAGGATAAGCAGCCGAGCTCATTCCCTTCGCTTCCGCTTCCTGGGCCCAAAGCAGTGCAGTCTTTCCTGGCCAAATCCTTGATTTGGGGCTTCTTGCTACGCTACTTAACTATATAAATCCATTTTATTTTAGTAATATATATATAGAAAGATAGATCCATCCATCTATCCTATCCGATTTATATTTTTAGATATAAAAAAGAATCGATTTCATTCAACGTGTGATTCAAAGAACTGCGCTTAGCCCCCCCCCGCTCATGAAACGGCTCTGCTGCAATGGATGGCAGAGGGTCCGTAGTACCCAAAGCACTGGAGTGGTCCAGTAGCCGGGAAGGGGCCTAGAAGATACATAACTACTACTACACCACACTACACTCGGCTCTACACATTTACAGAGCTAACCCCTGTCCAGTCCCTGGCAGAGTTAAGGGGGCTTCCATCCTTATTCCCTATCCCCATCTTCGCCCATTTTGCTCTAACGGGGCCTTACTTATTCAGGGGGGGAGAGTGGAGCCCCGAGAAGCACTGTTGAGAGGAAGATCCTTGGCCCCTCCTCATTCTCTACAGGGTTCCAAACCTTTCTTCAACATAGGTGACAACGAGCGGGGCAGAGATGGAAGAGATCGAAGACGAGAATAAGAAGCAAGCTCGCCTTGATAATTTTGATAGAGAGGGATGGATAAAGTGGACAAAACAGACTCGCATTTCCCATTTCCCAGTCGAAAAGATGGGTTCCTTTTTCGTCTTGCATTTCTCATCGAAGAAATACGGAAAAATAATCATATTTAAAACGTTCCTAACCCACCAACCCCTTCCTTCGTAGAGCCGTTTATTGTAAGTGATCCGAACCTGCCCGGAGCGAGTCTCCCATAGAGGCAAGTTAAGTTGGTGAGCCGTATGATGGGCAACTATCTCCTGCGGTTCGGAGAGGACTCAGCTGTTAGTTAGTACCCCCTTTCGGGGTGGACCTTTCACTCTATTTTATTATATACGCTTAGCGAAAAGAATGTTTTTTGATACACCTAGGACATGGATTTTATATGAACCAATGGATCGTGACAAGTCGTTACTACTAGCAATGACTTCGTCTTTCATTACTTCATCCTTTCCATATCCCTCTCCCTTGTTCTCAGTTACTCATCAAATGGCACTCAGTTCATATCTTTAAGTTCGATCATTGACAAGGTTCAAAGAAAGGGTGGGCCATTGATAAAGAATCGATTCCAAAGCACAATGCTAGCAAGGGCCTCCGCTTTTCTTTTCATTAAAGAAAGTTCCATTCGATTAGTTAGCTCGTAGTCAGTCTTTACTTAACTTAAAAAGCAATAAAACGGATGCCCTAACCAGCAGACAGACGAAGGTATGAAATTGCTCGACTGTAAAGGAGAGGTATTAAATTGCTTACTTGTTAGTTGGAGTAAGGTTCGGATCGAGCAAAGCTTTAGGTGAATTGTACCTCTCCCTATCGCTGCTATCTGCTATCGCTTATGCTCATTAAACTGACTGTACTGATCCCTGTTATCAGACGCTTAGCCATTCATTCCTCTCCTTAGCAGTCGAGATCTTCGAACCTCTCTCTTCGGTCGAGAGCTGTCGCGCCTTGAACAACTTGAGCTCATTCGATATCACAGCAAACAGAAGAAGCTGCGGTTAATCGGACAGAAGATAAGATATTTTATGCCTTAGCCCCTCTCTGTACTATCGTCAATAGGAGGGAAAGACGATTCTTCTTGGCTGGCTGCCCTGCCCGACGAAAGGTGGTTGTTCCTTACAAGTACTTCGCTTCTCCGAACCACTGACTGACTTGGTTGCTCGCAGAACATATGCTACGATCCACCGGGTCTTTCCATATTGATTTCGCGCGGGTTTACGAGACATGGGACTTAGGGCAACTCTTACTCCGGCTTCAGGCGGCGGCCCGGTTTTTTTGATGGAAGCATCTCGTATGTAGAATGTACACGGTTGGTAATAAGAGGATGAGGCGGATCATAATTCATGGCTTGAGGCCAGAATTTCATGGTCTCGTCACAGCAATTAATGGTTGGGCTACGGAACCAACTATTGTTGAGTTGGAGAATATATTAGCCAACCAAGAAGAGTTGGATAAAGAAATGGCAGGAGTCTCCGTTAAGAATGACGAGAAAGCTCTCTATACGAAAAAGGGAGATTCTCATAGCAAAGGTCGTAGTTCTACGGAATTTCGGCCACAAGGAAATAAAACAAAGAGGCCAAATAGTTGGCAACGAAGACAAGAGAGAGGGACTTCTCAGCAAGGGGAGCTTGTCAAGATCGAGACAAGCCCGACGAGAAGAAGAATCGCCGGAAGAATAACCAGTGTTATAATGGCGGGAAGAAAGGTCATTTTGCTCGAGACTGCTGGTACAAGAGAGCTGAAGGAAATGCCGCCACCTCCAGTCATAAAAATTACAGTGAAGAAGAATGGGATTTTCAAGCATCAGCTGCCATTTATTCTGAAATGCTGACAGAAGATGATTCCAGAGAAGAAGAATTAGCAGCCTCATGTATTGCAGAACCAGAGGAGGCAACTCTAATCTCGGTAAATGACAAAGTAATAAATTATGAAAATGATTGGATTGTTGATTCTGCTTGCTCCAATCATATGACTGGAGATGAGAAGAAATTATCAAGCATAACGGAATAGAAAGGCAAGCGAATGGTGGTGACCGCCAATAATTCCAAGCTGCCAATTACACACGTCGGTGAGACCGAGATAGTTCCTCGTTATAGTCCTCATCCGGTACAGCTGCACAACGTATATCATGTACCTGGGATGAAGAAGAACCAACTATCTGTATCTCAGCTTGCTGCTTCAGGGAATTACGTAGTATTCGGGCCAAACGACGTCAAGGTTGAAAGAAAGTTGAAAGCAATTGGGGCACCGATCATGGAGGGTCGACGGCTCGAATCTGTATATGTAATGTCAGCAGAAGCAGCGTACGTAGATAAGGCGAGGAAGAACGAAACTGCTGATTTGTGGCATGCACGATTGGGACACGTAAGTTATGGAAAGCTCAAGGTGATGATGAGCAAGTCCTTTTTAAAAGGTCTCCCTCAACTGGAAGTACGAGATGGCATCGTGTGCGCTGGCTGTCAGTACGTACAGGCACATCAACTTCCTTATGATGATTCTTTCAATCAAAAGTGCCGCTTCAGTTAGTTCACTCAGACGTATTAGGACCAGTAAAGCAAACATCGGTAAGTGGGTATCGCTACATGATTACCTTCATCGATGATTATTCTAGATACGTCTGGGCTTATTTCATGAAGGAAAAATCGGCATCTGGCAGAGACGTGCAGAAGTATGCTTCATGCTAAAAAAGTGCCCCCGATAAAATGGGCAGAATGCATGAAGACCGCAGTCTACGTAACCAATAGATTGCCTCAAGCAAGACTCGGATTCACTTCACCCTTTGAGAAACTATGGAAGACTAGGCCCACGGTAAGCCATTTTCGAGTATTCGGATGCGTATGCTATGTATTTATTCCCAATAATTTACGAAGCAAGTTCGAGAAAAAGGCAATACGCTGCATTTTCGTGGGCTACGATAATGAACGGAAAGGGTGGAGGTCTTGTGATCCGACTACTGGTCGATGCTACGTCTCTCGAAATGTGGTCTTTGATGAAGCATCTTCATGGTGGTCATCACAGGAAGTTCTCTTGCCAGATTCTCAAGAAATAGAGGAGAAGTTACAAGAAAAAAACTACAGGAGCAACAGGAGACTGAGAGTACGCAACCTACAGAAGAAGGCAGATGCTCTCCGGAACGTTCAAAAGCCAAAAGCCCATGGCAACAAAAAGAGGTGTGCGACAATCACCTCTGGAGAGGGAAAGTTTGAGCAAGCGTATAGAAGACGAAGAAGAAGAAGAACGGGATCAGTCACCAATGCTACGACGATCCACGAGGAGAAGTAAACCCAATCCCAAGTATGCTAATGCTACTCTAGTTGAAGATGTGAAAGAGCCAAGTACATATGAGGAGGCCTCGGAGCGTAAAGAGTGGAGGCAAGCTATGGAAGAAGAAATTAGTGCTCTGAAACAAAACGAAACGTGGGATTTGGTACCCAGAACAAAAGACAGAAAACCCATATCGTGCAAATGCAAATGGCTTTATAAGGGGGCAGACGGATCAGTTGAAAGGTACAAAGCGAGGCTGCTTGCGCGCGGGTTCTCTCAACTGTATGGGCTTGACTATGACGAAACTTTTAGCCCAGTAGCAAAGATTACAAGAGTCAGAGTTCTACTAGCACTCGCTGCAAGCAAGTCATGGAAGCTTTGGCAGATGGATGTGAAGATGGCATTCCTACACGGATAATTGGATAGATAAATATATATGGAGCAGCCACAAGGATTTAGGAGCAAGGCTCACCCGGATCACGTGTGCAAGTTAAAGAAGGCTCTTTATGGGTTAAAGCAAGCACACCACGAGCTTGGTACGGAAAAATCGCAGAATTCCTAACGCAAAGTGCTTACACAGTGGCTCCAGCAGACTCAAGCTTCTTCGTGAAAGCTCAAGATGAAAGGCTAGCAATTGTACTAGTATACGTGGATGATCTAATCATCACTGGAGATGATGAAAAGGAGATTGCTCAGACGAAGACTAATCTATCGGTACGCTTCCAGATGAAGGAACTTGGTGAGTTAAGGCATTTCTTGGGCCTTGAAGTAGAGTATACCAAGGTTTGAAAACCTTGGACTATCGGGAGAGCTTTTTCAATCCTAAAGCTTTGCTTACTATGTTGCTCGAGCTAAGAACATGAACATCATCTTCCCTCGTCCTTATCATACAGATTCAGACCTGAAAAGGCCGTAGATGCCCCGTTAGAGCAAAATGGAAGAAATTCTACATTAGCGAGAAGCTTTAGAAGAGTTGGCAAAGAAGCAAGGAGCAAGAAAAGGGAAGCAATAGAAAAGATTATTTAATCTACGGAGAATTAAGTTTTAAATACCTATTATATTGGGCACGAACGAGAAGAAGAAGACTTTAGATAAGGAGAGTTTTGAGAGCGAGTGGCTAGCTTTGGCTTAATATCAATAGTAACCGATCCATATTATCGTAGGGAGAGTAAGTTTGCCTTAGAATGAAGATAGTTTGATTTATCTCCTGCTTCTGCTATAGCACCCTCTCCTCTCCTTGTATTATAAGTCTTGATCTCCCTATCGGGATAGCAGCTAGATAGTAACCTTAGCCTTTCAACTAAGCTTAGAATTAGCTTAGCACTTGAGCAAAGGAGAGATAGCAGCTCGAGCAAAGCGAGAGGGTAGATGATCTTAGTGTGAAATTAAGGATAAGGAAAGAGTAGAAGATAGATATCAGAATAAATGAAAGCAATTCGCCAAGCTAATTGAATCGGGAAATGGAATTGCGTATTGATGTATCGGTATCAGTCTCAGTCTTACTAGTCAGTAAAGTCACTCCTTTTGGGAGCATTTCTTTTGAACTGCTTATACCGGTCTTCTGCGGCAGTCAGTCTGTCTTCAATTCCTCGCCGTCCCTCTCCTTTACAGTCGAGAACTTCGTACCTTGCTTCTCTTCTTGCCTCAAAGAACTCTTCCCTGGGATTGGCTTTGGGCCTTAGTTAAGACTTCTTCCTTCTGGGCTTACTTGCCAATTCTTAGCATCGGTACCGGTACTTTTCCCATCCTGTGACTATAAACAGACTCGCTACTATGGCAGGGCTTTAGCTCCGCTCTCTCCTAAACCTACCCTAATCAAAAAGACTAAAGTCAAGGCACCTACTTACTCGACTGTAAAGTAAAGGAGACGCTACTATGTATCTCGACCGAACAAGCTACTGCTTTTGAATAGAATAGAAAGTCATTCGATACCGTAGCTTATAGCTTTGGTTTGAAGACGCTCGACCGGAAGAAAGGAGAGGGTATTACCACGAGAAGGCATCTCTTACTTCGTTACAGGGATTGAGTTCAAGCCTACAGCTAAAGGAAGGGAGGTTTGAAGAGCGAGAGCAGCTCGTTAGGGCTAAGGTATGAAATCGGTACAGCTTTGCGAGAGGAATGATTGATTTTCTTAGTTGCCTTCCTTCAGTTCATGGGGTTAGGTCTAACTATCTTCTATGACGCCATTGGACGATCTCTCTTTTCGGTGCCAATGAAGAAGATGAGCTCAGTTGAGGAGAAGCCTGAGCGCCTCAAAGAGTTTAGGGTAGGTCTCAAAGTCCATCACGACCGACATGAGACGGTATGAGATGAGCATACCAAAGAGATGACGTAGCTACCCATACTTGCAATTCCTACTAATACTCTGACTGCCGAGGTTGAGTGGAGGTCGAAGACGGGACTCGCCAGCCTCCCTCAAACCCTAACCAGACCCTGTGTACGTCTAGAGAACGATACTCGATTTATCATTGAGTCTAGCTAACTCTAAGCCCATATAAATCTTGAAGAGTTTGCTTTCTTAAGGCAGGTTCTCTTCCGGCTTCGGGAAATGAGAGGTCGATCGTATAGTAAGATCCCACGTCTTGCTTGCTTCAGTGAGCATTTCGGGTTCAACGAGTGTGGTATCAGCTCTTGGGCTTGGCTAACTTAATTTGATATGTTCCGCGCTCGGATTCGGATTCGGAAGAGGAATCGGATTCGGATTCGGAAGAGGATTCGGAAGAGGAAGAGGAACGGAAGTGCGGTACCCTCTTCAAAAAACCCTTTCCAGCCGGAGACACCTATGGTAATTCTTCCGGAAAGATGAGGCCGATCGATTGGAATGTTTAAAATATAAAATATCCTGCACCTCCTGGTGTGCTGCTTCCTGCCACTACTTTTTTAGTCTCCCACTCTGGTTGAATTCATATTCAAGAGTTAAATTAAAGTTTATCTAGTGGAATTAGACTTTCTCTCTTCCTAAACTGGAAATACACGCTTTTATTGAGGAGTTATGTCTTAATGTACCCAAGAGACCGCCCCTTAGCCCTTAATGACATTATTAGAAAGAATATGCGTGGACTGATTGATTTACATGTATGATATGATATATTATTTACCATTTTTGGAATAAACCGGTAGGGGGTACATGCCAAACTCCCGCTTTCCTAGCAAGGAAAAGATAACCTTTCTTTATGGAATCAATGAAGGTAGTTTACTTGCTTACTTGTTAGAGTAAGGGTGTAAAGTCTTAAAAGAAAGAGAAAGACCTATTCCATCTGCCTCTTCCGCCTTTTTGGCAACATAAACCGTAGAAGGATATACCTGTGCTCGTTGACTAAGACGAAGCCTCTTTTATTGGCCAAGTCGTAAACTCTAAACCCGTTGTTCTGATGTCCAGATCCGGACACTAAAGTGCTGATCCCGGGACTACTTCTTGATCCAATTCATTTATTCTATCACCCGTTGGAGTGCATCGAAAAGAGATTCTTGGTATTGGTTTTGTGCCATGATTGGTGAGATTTTGCATTGATAATATTGTCTATGGTAGGTGCGCCCTCTGTTTTTGATCTCATTCGCGGAACTATTTCTTAGTCTTCAACTCCAACATTGGGTGATACTGATGGTCGGCCGGTGATTGTCCTTTACTTTTAAAAGAGCCTAGTGGGAAATGAAAAAATAGAGTTATGCTCTGGCGAATGTAGCTGATCTTTCATTCCGGTTGGACCCCCTTACCGCTCTGTGGGTTCAGAAGGTGATCAATCATAAATGGGGCTAATCCCGTGGATGCTGCTTACCTAGATGCATAAGATAGTTTAAATCCATGTAATTCGATGCTGGTTAAACTAGAATCTAATATTGTAGAAAAGGAAGTGTCTGTTGTCTTTCCAACTCCTTTTGGGCAAGCAGCTTCACTCGGATCTTCTTTATTTATTGTGCTTGTCGTGCTGGGACTGCTCCTCCTTAACAACCTCTCCTTCCTCAACTCTTTGGTACACTCCTCTGGCGAATGTAGCTGATAACGCCGGGACTAATTGAACTCAGGCTGATTTCTCCTCTTCTGACTGCCCTTCTTCAGGCACAACCATACCTTCTTTTCGTTGGGCAATTAAATTTGATTTATCCCCGCTCGATTTTTTTCTTGTAGTCATCGTTGAGCTAGACCGGAGCTCTTCCCCCTAAATCCTTTCTATTGCGGGTTTCGAGCTACTCGCTACTATAGTGAGAAAAGTCCAGTTGACGTAGCGTAGGTGGAAGAAGATCGGACTAAGTTCCTTTCCGTGATAACTCCATTCTTGGGCTGGTGGGTTAGAAGCATTAGAAGATCTTCCCCATCCCAACCAAATAAGCTGGAATGAATGCTTGAATAGTCCTTTCCCTTTGGCCAAGCTAGTCAACTACCTCATTCTAGCATTTCTTACTTGACTTTTTTGACTGTTGCGGTTACGGCTAGACTACTGTGCTCAGATAACCAAGTCCTTGCTTCATTTTTGAATGCAGTTCGGGATCGAACGAGGTTTGGGAAAAGAAAGGCTATTTTCCGTTACGGGCTTATGGATTTTTTTGATCGTCCCAGTAAAGTACTTAAACTACTAACTACTACTTAGTTATCGTCACTGGCTGCAGATCTGGCTTGGCTCGATAGGCTATGGAATAAACGGATGGAGGCAGGCTTGCTTGACCCTAGCCCTAGCTTCTTAAACAAGAGAACGGACCGACTCTAACTAATCCACTCCTAGTAAAGTCCAAACATGGCATGAACGGGTAATTAAGGCTATTGATACCTGTGCTAGCAATAGATTGGTAGCAATGTTGAAAAAGCATTTTATAAAAGATAGGCGGAGTCACCATTTGATTATCAGATAGCGCTCTGAGGGAGATCGGTAACAATTTTTCTTTCCAGTTCTTCCATTGGCGTGATAAACAAAGGGTCCTGGACAACAAAATGAGCCATGGAGTTTCGATAAGCAGGTATTGATTCTGAAGGAGGTGCAAGGAGACGAACAACCCTCCAACATCTCTTTCTTCTATGTTCCCCTCTTGGTGAGAGCTTATGACCCCCTTTTGAATGGCAGAAATTCTGGTTGTGCCTAACTACTAGGTAACAAGATTGGGGCATTCCTTGAGATGGATAATAGTGATGTGATGAGGGGTAGATATGTGGATATTTAGAGTCTTTCTTGATGTGCGGCAGCCTATAAAGAGTAGGAGTGGAAAGCAAATCTCAAATATGAGAGAATGCCCAACTTTTTTTTATCTCTGTGGGCTCTTCTTTGGGAAAGATCGGACCAATGATCACACTTTATTCTAACTGGAAGACTCTTTCTTTTTAAGTCCAAGATAAGAAAGTCTTCCTCCTAAATCAAGACAGCGCCCTCATTAAGAGGAGGAGTCATTTATGGATTCCCCCGTACCCCAGCAGCAAGCCTAGCCCTTAATGCTTGGAAGCCTGCTTCACTTCAAAATAGTTGCGTAGGTAGACTATAAGGAAGAGTTTCCGGGTTTAAAGAAGAAGACAGATTTATGCCAAAAAGACAGACTTTCCTCGTGTTAGCGAAACTTGAACTGGGATAGCCTCGGGTAATTCCATTTTTTCCGCTCCTGTGACTAGGCTTTCTCTCCGGTGATATTGAATCTCTTGGAGTAAGATCAGTAGGAGGAGCTCACCCCAGGCAATCTAATTCTTAATTAGAACCCGCGATCGAAATGAATGGAAAAAGAAAAGTATGTTCTCACGGCCGGGAATCGGAATGAAAGAGCGAAAGCAATTTTTTTATTAGATAACTAGGCCCTTGATGCTTTGTTAATGCCACAGTTCGTTCATAGAAAGATGGAATGCTAAAAATGAAGAAGAAGGCGAGCTAGCAGATGAGATAAGCGTAGAAATTCAACCGAGTAAGGCCGACTTAAAGTGGATATAGTTGATACCGTTAAAAGAAAAGAAAGGGGTTCATCCGGTCCGAAGTTGTCGGAACGAATCGTTTGCTTTATCGAACAAAGCTTTCTTTTATTAGGGAGTCTTGGTTGGCCCCCTATTATCAACCATTACAGCTGTAGAGTTCTCGACCAGCTTTGCGATACGGACGGACACGAAGGAAGAAGAAGAACGTATAATTGGCAGCGGAAATGCAAAAGAGAAGAGCAAAGATTCCCGACCCAGAGCATGTTATTGACTCAACCACAAATCTATTGAATGAAGGCTTTTAGGTGCTTACTCTCAGCCACTAGTTAGAAAGAAGGAAGGAAATCCCTTGACTTCGTTTATGCCCTTATGCAGTAAAGAAAGAAAGTGAGGCGGGCTAAGATTCCATTCGAAGTAAGGTAACAGGATTCGATGTTGCACCATCTTCAACTCTTCTCGGGATCCGGAGTTTTTCGAGAAAAGGTCCCATCCTTCAATCTCATGATTGGGTCGACCAGGCCAGATCATGAGTGAATAAAACTAACGAACGATGGCATTTTTTGCGGAACTTTCCATACACATTTATATTATCATTTTAGGAGCTTATGTTCCCCTTATAGTTCTTCTAATATGTCGTGCAGGACGACTTAGGGGCGAAAACAAGAGTATGGCTGAAAGACGAAGAATCTTGTTTTTTTTTGTATTTAGGGTTACTTTCTCTTGTTTCCCGATTTATCTGGGGCATGCCATAGGATCAGAAGGAACCGCTATAATGACCACCCCTTCCAGTCTAGTGCTTTTTTCAATCTTGATTTTGGGCTTGATCTTTCTTTTTCGTTGTGTAAAATAAAATAAAAAGTCAGGCATTCTACTTCTCTTTTTCTATATATCCATTCCTTTTTTTATTATTCTTTCTTTATGTGGTCTTGGACGGGAAAAGAAATGCTAGAAGAGTTGGAGCCCTTATTATTCAAGTAAGATTTGTAGCTAAGCTCTTCTATAAGTGAGTTCTCTGGGCTGAGAAGGACAGGTAGGTGCTTACATCTTATGGATTGGGCAGTTCTACACTAATCTGCTTTTCTTATAAATATAAGAACTCGGGAACTAGCTTCGCAACTCACCCCGAGGAGGAGAAGGATAGAATAGCTCGACCGGTCCTATCTCTACACATCAACTCATGGTACTCCCTGGGCCCCCTAACAGGTTAGCGACAGCATTCTCGAGGGCCATAAATCATCGCATCTATCTACGGTAGGTAGGTAAAGTTTATAGGTCGAGCACTTTCATACATATAGTAGTAAATCATGAGATCAATTCTTTCAAAGCTCGGGATTTCAGTCAGTGATAGACAGCTTGGCTAGCTATCCTCTCAAAAAAAAGGTCATTCAATCTCAGTAGTGGCAGGAAGAACACAGCTCCCAGGCGTACTGATAAGGCTTAACCGGAATAGAAGAAGGTTGGATGGGAGTGCGCTTCTTCAATCTAGGAGGTATCCTTATATCTTACTCTTCTTCGACGATAAAAGAGAGGGGAACTCAGACTTATCTTTTGACTACCGGAGGAGAACCTTACTTATACTGAGTATAAGAGCAGGTCTCCACTGCCTATAGCATAGAGGCGGGAGTCAGTGCCTTTCCTTCCCCAGCGTTCAGTGGAACGTGAGGCACTCTTTATTTATTTATTGGCTTTCAGGCAATGGAAGGGGCTATTCCCACTACGCGCTAACTAGAAGAGCAGGAAATAAAGATGTCATGTCAGTTTCTGCCCTTATTCGTCTCCAATGCATCCCTATTCATTCTCTGTGCGTCGGTGTGGCTATCTTCTCCTATTTCTTTTTTCCTTCAAAGGAATTTTTTCCATTTTATTCTTTCAAAAGGCAAGGCTAAGCCATCCGCCCTTCATTGCAGGGGAAAAGGGGACACGGTTCCCAAGGGGTGGCTAGTTCTAGTAACAGAGACGGATACAGATAAGGTCCTTTTTCTGAGAGACCCGCTCTTGACTTTAATCATACCCACTAGTAAGCGCAGTGGATGCTCCTTCATACAGGGACAGAGAGGCGAGTGATGGGCACTACTCATCATAAGAAGAAAGCAGTCATGCAGATAGAAAGGGTAAAACAATGACTCTGACTAAGTAAAGAGATTTGGTTTTTTTATCATATATTTTCCATACCACAGCTCTAGACTTGCCCCTATTCAAACTATGTTTCATTCATACCACCCTTGTGGGTTGTTCGCAATTCACATGAAAGACCGGTTGAGTACCTTGGCCCGGGTAGGTGGTGCTGAGTTCCGTGTCCTTGGCAGGCTCGACCATCGGAGATCCGTTCATTACGAACGTTTTTTCTCGATATGGACCAAGCTCCGACTTCCTTTTTAGCTTTGGCTCGGAAGAGGTCGAGATCTCCACCAACCAATAAGACATGCTGGGGAGTGCATAAAAAGCACCTCATTCATTGATGGGAGAGTCCCCACCGGTCAGCGATTTGGTTTTATGCATTACACAAGGTGGCACGGACGAGTACTAATTGAATTGGGTACGCGCCTAACTCAGCTAAGCTAATAAATGCTGCATAAGAGAGTGGGAGGCCGGCCCCCGCCCATCTGGAGGTGCACACCCTTTTAGGAACATATGCAAAGGGGTAAAGAGAGAAGTCAATGGAGAACTACCAAATTCGGAACCAATGACTTTGATTTGTTCGTACAGGTTACGCGGTGGATCTTATAAGGCCTACTCACGTCAAGGTCTTCCGGCATCTAAACGTTGGAAGCGCCTTTATCTCTTAATGTTTTCGCCGACTGGCATACTTCCTTTACCATTGAAGTTTTGGTTAGCATTTCCAGATTTGGGAGTGTTGACTGC